GCTAGCTAGCTAAATAGCCAGCTTCCTGGCTAGCTCGAGCTAAAGCTATCTGGCTGGCTGCAGCTAGCTGGCTAGCTGCAGGATGCTGCAGCTAGCTAGCTAGCTAGCTTGCTGCTGGTAGCCAGAGCGGCCACTAGCTCTCTGAAGGCAGCTAGCCACAGCTAGCCACAGCTAGCCACAGCTAGCCACAGCTAGCCACAGCTAGTCACAGCTAGCCACAGCTAGCCACAGCTAGTCACAGCTAGTCACAGCTAGCCACAGCTAGCCACAGCTAGCCACAGCTAGCCACAGCTAGTCACAGCTAGCCACAGCTAGCCACAGCTAGCCACAGCTAGTCACAGCTAGCCACAGCTAGCCACAGCTAGTCACAGCTAGCCACAGCTAGCCACAGCTAGCCACAGCTAGTCACAGCTAGCCACCGCTAGCTGGCTCCAGCTAGCTGGCTCCAGCTAGCTGGCGGCAGTTGCTTACCAGCTCTGGCTAGCTGCTGTGGCTAGCTTTCTCTTAGAAGTTAAGCAGCTGCAGTCTGCAAGCTAGCTGTCCACAGCTAGCCAGCACCGCAGAGCTAGCCGCCAGCCTACAGCTAGCTAGCTAGCTAGCTAGCTAGCTAGCTAGCTAGCTAGCTAGCTGTCTTAGCCCGGCTGACAGAAAGGAGCTAGCTAGCTGCTGACCACTAGCTAGCCGCAGCCAGCCGTAGTACGTCTAGCGAGCTGTGGCTAGCTGGAGCTAGCTGTGGATAGCAGCCACTAGCTGTGGCCAACTGTGGCTAGCTGTAGCTAGCTGTAGCTAGCTGTAGCTAGCTGAAGCTAGCTGTAGCTAGCTGTAGCTAGCTGTGGCAGCTAGCTAAAAGGCAGAATATCCCCGAAAAGCAATTTAAATAAAGCAGAGACGAATTATATGGAATTAAAAGCAGTAGTAGGGATATATATAAAAATAGCACAAAATAGTAAAAATATAATAAAAGCATAATAGAACTATAATTAAAATATAATTATAATTTTAAATTTAAATTAAATATAATTCCAACTCGAATTAGAAATCTAAGAAAGAATGGAGTGTCCGGCGCTGCTGCTGTATGGGGCTGCGGGGCCGCAGCAAGAGTGGGTGGGTACACGTGAAGGGCGGGTTGGAGTTATTTATATTAATTTATTTATTTTTATTTATTTTATTTGTTTTAATTAATTTATATTGCTAAAAGGGCTGGCGTTCAATTGGATTCGGCTGCTGGCGCTGCTGCAGCGCCGCTGCTGCAGCACCGAAGGCTGGCGGCGACTGCGCGGGGGTGTTTGCGGGCTGGGGGCGGTAATTTGTTGGAGTTTTCTTTCTAAAAAGAAAATAAAGATTGAATAACAATTTAAAGTTAAAATCAATGAATTAAATAGCATTTAAAAGCCATTTAAGTGGCGCATCGGAGTTGCGGTGTACCTGCTGCTCGCGGCAGCGCTGGGGTGTACAGACAGCTCGCATGCGTGGTGTCACTGCAGCAGCAGCGCCAGCAGCTCATTAATTGGGTTTTCTTCGTTTTCAATTTCTTTTAATTCTTAAAAAAGGCATTTAAAAGCCTTTAGCGATCCCCTAGGCCGGCCGGGGCACCGTTGAGGTGTGCATGCACCACCCCGGGCCAATTTTGCTGCTTCTCGCCTTCCACTGCTTCTTTTCTCTTCATTTAAAAACCCAAAATAATGCTTTTCCGCCTCCCCGCAACTCTCAAGTCCCCAGCAGCACGTTTGCTGCTGCCAAACACCCATTCTCCGCCACTTAGGGGGCCCCCCTGCTTGGGGGCCCTCCTGCCCCTGGACGAGGGGGGCCCCCTGGGGGGCCCCCGGGGGGCCCCCCAGTGGCAGCAGCGGCGAGGGTTTGGGGCCGGGGATTTGAAGATTGTGGCTGCGCGCATGAAGTCCATAAAGTCTATAGAGAAGGTGGGTTTATTTGCTGCTGCAGCGTCTTTCAAATACACATTAAAGTGCCCTGCTGCTGCTCTTGCTGCTGCTGTTGCTGCTGCGGCTGCTCAGCAGCAGCAGCAGCAGCTTTTCTTCCTTTTTGAAATTCTCGAAAACCCCAAAACACGCGGGGCTGTCCGTCTCTTCTTCTGGCCTCTTCTAATTCCCCTTTTAAGGGTTTACAGCAGCAGCAGCAGCAGCAGCTTCCGCACAAACCCATTTAATTACTAAACTCCCAGTACCCTTTTGGGGGCCCCCGGGGGGCCCCCGGGGGCCCCCGGGGGCCTCCTGTCTCTGGTTTTAGAAAGAAGTCCTTTTGAGCTGCGAGCAGCATCAGCGAATAAAGAAGCACAAACTGCTGCTGCTTCTGCTGCTGCTTCTGCTGCTGCTGCTGCTGCTGCTGCTGCTGCTGCTGCTGCAGATAACGAAGGCCATGCGAATGGTTGCTGCTTCGAAGCTGCGGGGAGACCAGAGGAGGCTCGAGCAAGGCGCGCCCTTTGCGCAGCCGCTGCAGGTTGGGCCCCAAACCCTAAACCCTAAACCCTAAACCCTAGCCTAAAGCCTAGCTTAAGCCCTAGCCTAAACCCTAAACCCTTGGCGCTGCGTGCCAAGGGTTTAGGGTTTAGGGGAAAGGCCCTGGCTGGAAATTAGGGTTTGCGGTTCGAGGGTTTGGGTTTGGCTGGCTGTGAGGGGCTCTCACGTGTAGTTAGGGTTTAGGGTTTAGTGTTTAGGGTTTAGGGTTTAGGGTTTGGGGCGGTGTGCAGCGGATTGTTGGGCGCGTTCCTATTCCTGACGACAAGAGCGACCTGACCATAGTGGCGTTTTCCTCAGGTAAACCCTAATTTAGGGTTTACGAGTGTTTCCGGGGGTTTACGAGGGTTTGTGAGGGTTCGCTGGTCCTTCTTAGGGTTTCTTAAGAGGGTTTAGGGTTTAGGGTTTCGCTGGGCTCGTCCCGGGGGCTTCAGAGCTTACCAGGACTTTAAGGGTTTAGGGTTTAGGGTTTAGGGTTTGGAGTTGAGGTTAGGGTTTAGGGGAAAGACGAGGGCCGCGAACTGAGCGCTCGAGCCCGCGGCGGAGCCCTCGGCCGTGGCGCCCAGGGTTTAGGGTTTAGGGTTTAGGGTTTAGGGTTTAGGGTTTAGGGTTTGCGGCGCAGACAAGGGTTTGTGCGGGGGCGTGAACGCCGCGGTGTCTCGCGAGGTTGCTGCTGCAGCGCATGCAGCAGCAGCTTCGGGTGTACGTACACCTCTCGTGTGTCTCGGCGACAAAGCCCGCGCCTCTTTGCAAAGAAAACTTTCCAACAGTTTTATTTTTCTTTTCAACGAACTCAACAAACTCCCCTGGAGCTTCGCCACCGCCTCCGTCCTCGTCGACAGGCTCATCCAGGCAGGGTTTAGGGTTTAGGGTTTAGGGTTTAGGGTTTAGGGTTTGGGGTTTAGTAGGGTTTGGGGTTTGGGGTGCAGGGTTTGGGGTTTAGGGTTTAGGGTTTAGGGTTTGGGGTGTGGGGGTGGGGGTCGGGGTGGCGGGAGATGCGAAGGGGGGGAGCGAGGGGCTAGGGTTTAGGGTTTAGGGTTTAGGGTTTAGGGTTTAGGGTTTGGAGCGTGCGCGGCGCGTAAGCGCCATCGATCCACTCAAAGCAAAACAAGCAACTGAATTAATTACAAAATTAAATTAAATAATTTATTTGTTTGTTTATTTATTTATTTATTTATTTATTTATTTATTTATTTATTTATTTATTTATTTATTTTTTATTTTTTAGGCCAAACCCTCGCGGCTGCTGTTTGTGTACAACCAGTTCGTGTCTGCTGTGGCGTATAAGACAGTGTCTTTGCGGGTGTTGGCAACAGCAGCACTGCCGCAGCAGCAGCAGCAGCAGCAGCAGCAGCAGCAGCAGCAGCAGCAGCAGCTGGCAGCTTATGAATTCGAGCCGGAGCTCATTGACATTTGGAAAGACCTGCAGCAGTTCGCTCTCGCTTGCTGCTTCCACGGCTGCATGCTAAATGCAATTGCTGCTGAACAAGTTAGTTTTATTTATTTATTTATTTATTTATTTATTTTCTTTTATTTCTCTTTTGTTCTTCTTTTGTCCTTCTTTTGTTCTCTTCTTCTTCTAATTCCCGTTTCCGACAAAATTCCAAAAAGTGCTGCTCAAATTGCCATCTCCCTGTAACGCTGCTGCTGCTGCT